TTAAAATGTCACCGAATCAAACTTTAACCGTTTTTAATCAAAACAATACTTTGAATTACAAATGAATTGTTGAATATAAGGGGGAGAAGCAGTACCCGTTAACCCATTCTCCGGGTCCGTTATTCACTACCCGGTACGTCTACTCACGTGGACAAGTGTCTCTCGTAAACATAATTCGTAGGCATTTTATATTTTGTTAAAACTTATTGCGTAGTGCAGACCCAATTACTTCTGTCGATATAGAACGGTCTTTTAGGCGCTACGAGTCAATTTTAATAGGTGCATTCCAAAGAGTGTGTGTTTGTGTGGAGGAGGGGACAGGCCCAGCGTTCTTTTAACATCTTTAGGTATATAAGAAGTTTGTGATGTATGTATTTGGCATTTTGGGACGGCTGCCCGACTTTGCCGGTTAGTTAATGGTCCCCATGAACGTATTTCAATTCCTACGCTTGGGGGTAAGAGAGAAATGACGTCCGCCTTTCATCGTTACTAGCAAACTCCGCCTGCCAAAGATTTTCTTCGCCACACAGATACAGAAACTGAGGCGGCTTTAAAGGAAAGCTACAACTCTAGTTACCCTGACGGGAAATCGAACTCAGAATCGCGCCACACGAAGCTAGTACGCTGCCCGTGAGCGACCTCAGGGCTCCTGATCCATCGTTCAGAACTTTTATTATTAAAAATTTTCTAAACTCTTAAGTGACAGTTTCATCTTTTTTTGTCGGATATTGTTTAGAAAACAATTCGAAATATTCGTCATTCATAATCGCTATACGAAAACTTCACTGTTCTTGCTAGTATACAGAAAATGCTTCTGTAAAAAATATAAACCCAACCACGAATAAAATTGCAAATTTGTGAATTGACGGAGTTGGGGTGCAAATTGCGCATCGCCCTGTGATCGCCCGAGTTCAGGCCACCAGAACCTTGACTTGCCAGCAGTCCGTCAGAATTGAAGTGCACTCGCTGTTGGCAAAAGACACAAATGATCTTTCGAGTCTAAATAGCGCTTCGACGAGTTTATTTCAAGTCTCGTAAATGCGCAGTCAGTGTCAGGCTATGACGAAATCGGAAATTTACAAAACACATTTTCTACGGAAAACCGTGCTTCTGGACCCAACACGATACAAAAATGTTTTTGACTAATATATTGAAGAACTCTCCGGTGCTGTTTTGTGTGTGCCAGAAATAACGCACTGAGAAAATGATTACATTTGAATTTTCGTGTGATTTACTTGGAACTACCGTAAATATTAATTTATAACTTCGCAAATTTGCGTCAGGAAACCGATATTCTTTATAGAAGACTCGAGGTCAGGATTTCAAAATTAAAATGAGGAGAAAAATCTGTGAATATAATAGACAATTATTAGATTATTTCTATTTGTTTTGTTTCAACTACGTACACAAAAAAAGAGTTTCCACATGTTTCAATACAGAGTAACTCGATAAATATGATCATGGCACGGTGATGTGCTAATCACTCTAGAATCCAAAGAAAATCGAGAATACTTGAAAGAAACAATATTATAAAGATATTTTAAGCTCAATAACATTGACAGATTGTTGTTTCCGGTCATGTTATCTGCTATGCTCATTAGTCCCAGTGGTGTAGTGAGTGTTTTATTCATGATGATGGCGAAAGACCGCGCCCCTAGGTGGTGAGTTCCAGCGTTGACCTACACGTCGACTCGTGGGGACTCTTCTTCTACTACTTCAGCAGACACAGAGGAGACGTTTCCCAGCTAGGGTACAATTTAACCGACTTATACGCCTGGTTTCCCAGATGTGTGGTTGCGTAATACAAGTAAGTGTAAATGTGCGATGAGGGTAGGAAAAGGAAGAGCAAGGAGAAAATCGCACGCTGTCCGTGGCCCGTTTATTCGTTTGCTCCTCCGACATTCGCCTGATGTTGATCGGAGAAACCACGAAAAACTCGGAGCAGCCGGTCGCTAGAGCTCTACACCAGACTGCGACTGAATTCAACCTAGCTGACAAACCAGTGTCGAATATCCTGCCACCGTCGGGACTCGAACCTAGGGCCTCCCGGTCAGAGTAACAGCAATGACATCGGTTGATGCTCTGAGTCATTCTCCCCGTTAAGTTGTCTGTTGAAAGCCCAAATGTTTAATGACTTTCACCGAATTCGTTAGCTACGTATTCTAATCGATATTTTTGTTTACATCAATAAAATCGAATATCAATACTCTTCAGTTCGCAAAAAAACAGCGCTAATTTGCAACATCATATTCACTAGTGATAAGAGTCATTGTAATCACAATAGAATAAGATGAGTATCACGAAATGTACAATAAGTTTTAAAATGAAAAAGACTAAACTAAAGAGAAGAACTAATAAGAAGTGTAAAACAAATGCAGCTGTTTATTTTAATAAATAGATTGACATTAAAATAAATTTCCGCTACCAGTTTTTACCCTTTTTTTCCTACAAGTATTCCAAATTTAAAATTGAGAGTGAGAACTGTCTTCAAACCGTGGAAAATGGCAGTCTTTGAAGACAAATCACATAGAAAGTTCCATATTCTTTTAAGAATACTTTTTTTCTCAAGTTTCCTGTGTCTTTTTCAAGTTTCCTGTCCCTTTTTTTGTGATGATTGATCGCTCTACAAACGCTATTAAAAAGTGATTACCGTCTGCTCACCGAATTTCGTTTTCTCACCCCCCAACACCAAATCATAAATTAGTTTGCGCTCAGATTCCGGATGTTTTTCTCGCGTGTTAGGGCACATTCTAAAAAAATGTGAACCTAACACACAAACATGCAACTCCAGCAAATTCTCACTTACACTGTATATATTCAAATAACATCTCTCATGTCTTGAAATATACATATTCTTCGCAATGTTGAATGGTGGATAACATAATTTCTATTGTTTTAATACATACTTCAAACATAACGACTGCCAAAATAATTTTGGTAGATGTTTCTCTGGGGCAGAGATAATATTTTGAGTAAATGAATCAAAACTGCTTGTTATTTATTTTTATTTGTTTCGAATGTTTCTCTTTGGTAATCATTTATTTGAGAAATGAAATGTCACCTACATGTGACTGACATGTCTTCTGGGTAACATGGCTTTACTTCAGAGACAAATAAAATATGTCTGCAGTAAGTGACGTTTGTTTTTGACACTATTTTGAAATTTAATATATTGTCTTGTGTAAATTAAGTTGGAACAATTGTCTAACGGAAACTGTGGGTTTTTCTTCAGTTCAAGTCATCCCTTCTTACAATTGGCGATTCTGTTAGAACGGTGATGTACGTGAATTGTAAATAGTTATTTTGAGTTATTGTAAGTCTTCTTTTTCTGGATAATTTTTCAAATAGTGTAAATGTACTATAAAAAGTTTCTCTGATATAGGATACATTAAAGTGTAAACAAGCAAGACTTTTCCTTTTTCAAATGCATACGTATTAAAATTTACACCTTCTACATATCTTACGGTTACTTAATTATTCTCGCTTTGGGATAGTTAAGAACCAATAGAAACACATATGTCCATGGAAATATTCAAAAAATGATTAAATGTTAAGAAAAATCGTATCCAATTCAAAAAATAAATAATTAATGTGGGCATATATTACAAAAATAATTTGAGAGTCCCCGAGACCTCAAAATGTATTTAATGAAATGATGTAGAAACGTAAGTTTGTTTGGAAAATAACTCTTGCCAACATATGTAAACTTATATAAATATAAGTAGTAACTCATTTTAAGTGCACTCGTATTTAAACGCAATAGAAATAATCATCAACATTAAATTTTTTTTAAAACCTGCAATTTTTAGAAAACTTTGATATCGGTGTAAATAAAATGATCTCACGGTATTAATGGGTTCTTCTCAATAATTAATATCAATTTTCATTCATTGCCTTTATTATATTTTTATTAATAATTCACTTCATTATATATTTTTATTTTGCTCTTTAATCAATTTAGTTTGTTCTCTAAAATTATGCAAGATTATAAGACATATTTGACCGGATTTTAGACCACATAATTATCTAAATATTAGAGCATTGTTAAATAACTTACGGTGATATGTTTTTTGCGAAATATTGTTTTAAAAATATGTGCTTAAAATTGAACATGTATTACAAATTTGTCATTATATTTCGGTTGGTTTTAAATGTAGGGCATTTATTGTCGTCTACTTTATTGTAAATATTGCCCTAAATCTAATCTGAATCCGGTTTCTATCTTACACATTTTTTATATAAAGGTTTATAAGATAAAATGTAATTTACGAGAATTTAACTTTAAAGTTTTACAGTAACTATACGAAAAACCTAATTAGTCATCAACTCAAGGATACTAAAATGTAACAGAACAAACAAAATAGCATCGTAACGTGCTGCTGACGCCAGGCCTACAAACGGCTGAAGCAAAATGTATTCAGTCGAAATATTTTCAGTAGAACAAATAATATGGAACAAAATTTGACATTTAAAGCAGATTGCTTGACACATTGTTTTATCAACTTCCCGAAATGTTACACATATAAATCACACATAATTTTGTTTAGAAAATATTGCAGAATTTTTATACAAACATTGTAAAATCGGTTTTTGTAAAATATCCACGTACATTTGCCCTTAATCGAATTGTAGCATTTAAATTTTGCTCTGAACGTAACAAACCATATTGGAACAATGGCGACCATATCAAAGTTTAGGTGACGAGGTACTTCTGTGGTCACTTCTCATAAGCCATGTGTCAACAGCACCCAGCAAGTGTCTATATGAGAGTCAAGTATTTAGACGCATCTATAAAACCCATTTAAATGTATTTTCTAACCCCATAACTTACATATTCAATACATTAATTTAGTGTTTCATTGCAAAAATGAGTTTTTCTTCTTTTTTAACCAAACTAGTTTACTAGACTACGCCTTAGTAATAATGCTTACAGGTACACATCGCCTGTAGATGAGTGTAGAGTTAAAGGAATAGTAGCTAAGATGTAATGTTGGACTGACCGCAGCATGAGCTGGTGCATGCGCGCGCGCTGTCCCTTGGCGCGCAGGATTCGCGCGGCGCCCAGCAGCGCCGGCCGGTGCGTCGCCGACTCGGCCAGCGCGCGCTCGTACTGCGCCAGCGCCTCCCAGCTGCGCCCTGCGCAAGCACACACAAACATGCCCCTCGCAACGCGCAACTCGCACGGCGCCACTCGCACCGCGCCACTCGCACCGCGCCACTCGCACCGCGCCACTCGCACCGCGCCACTCGCACCGCGCCACTCGAACCGCGCCACTCGCACCGCGCCACTCTCAATGAAGTTGGAAAGCAAGAAGAACACATAGGAAATGATAAGATTAAGTGTTAATAAGTATTGACAAACTTATGGTATAGATTGTTTGCGAAAAATAAAATTATATAGATAAAGATAATGTACTAGTAATAAAAATGGTATAAAAAACAATCCGATTGGAGTTCAGTGAGCTCATTTCTAAGGAAACACACAATGAATGCATGCATGCAACTCTCACTGACTTTGAACAACGAAATAGAAGAGCAGTAGACATAACAAAATGTAATTATGTTAAACCTTCAAGTCGACGTTTTTCAAACAATATTTTCTCTCTCCTATTATGTTTGCATAAAATTCAAATAAACGAAATTACATCTAATTTTAAATATATAATTTTTTAATAATAATAAATATTATTTTAAACAAATTTCGTTTTAATAGTATTATACAACGTATTACAAAACAAACAATAGGGAAGAAAAAGCACTTTAACTTAAGTATTCAAATTTTTAAATAAGCTATTTATTGTTGAGATTAGTGAACATAGGTTGTGATTCAATCTAAGTTATTGCAATTTCATAAAAAACATAATAACATTTTAAAATATGCTATGATATATTACATTTATGAACATATTGAAGCGTTTTAATTAAAAGTTATATTGAAGTAAAATAGATCTTGTTTCATAATTTAGTGTGCATTTCATTGCAAAAGTTGTAAACTTTTCATTTTACAAAATGTGTGATTAAACGCATACTAATGACGTTAAATATTATAACTTCAGAGCAAGATAATACAATTCTATTATATCAATTATAATAAGTGTTTGTTGTTGATTTATTAACTAATAATGAATAACAGCACAGTAGCAAATATATTGAATTATCTCATACCAAGAAGCTAAGTTGAATTGAAACCATTCTACTCTTCATGGTCTATACATGTACACTGTGAAATAGGTCTATAAACGGTTATTCATCTTATAATTATGTGTAATATAATCATTCTGAACATCGTTACGTGATATCATTGTTTCGAAATTCATGCTTAGGTGCTCTCAAAATATCCTTCAAGTACACAATAGGAGAACACAATGGAGCCTTCGCATGTTCGTCCGAATTCACGAAATCAAAGGCCCTTTGTCATTCACGGAATCCACACTACATAACATAGTTATAATTTGGCCTTCTAAATGTCTACTATATTTATTAATTTTTATTTAAAGTATTTTTGTTAAAGTGAATGTCACATCGTATGCAAAAACGAAAAGAATTATAATCCTTATTTAGTGCTTAATAAACTCCAAAGAATTAGTTACTCAGTAACAAATGTGTAACTCTTGAAATTCGCTAACGTTCGAGTTACAAAAGCGAGACCTTAGAATATTATATTAGAATATTATTATTATTATTATTATTATTATTATTATTATTATTATTATTATTATTACTATTATTACTATTATTACTATTATTATTATTATTATTATTTCCTAATAATTTACTTTATATTTACAACAACTACTGGATACTAGGGACTCCGACATAACATTATACATTTTTAAACTTGATTACATATTAAGACTGGATAGTTATTATCAGTTAATAATATAAGTTATAAAATCAAATGAAGAATAAATGAAAATAAGAACAATAAATTTACATAATCAGTACATATGAGGAAAATAAACTTGACAGTACTCTCAGTGATAGAATGAACACATAGAATGAAAAATAACTAAATGTAAAATCCTATGGGTCACGCTAGGACCAATCCACAAAAAAAATCCTCACCCTGCGCCTGCAGCCAATCGGCGAGCTCTGCGCGGTGGTCGGGGGAGCGCGGCTGCAGGCGTGCCACAAGGCGCAGCAGCCGGCCCACCTCGCGCCGCAGCCCCAGCGCCGAGTAGAGCTTGGTGAGCAGCAGGTAGGCGGGCGTGTAGCCGGCGTCCAGGCGCACGCAGCGCTCCAGCATGCGCACGGCGTCCAGGGTGCGGTTCTCCTTCCTAGCACACACAAGCACACAGCGGTTACACTTCCAAGCACACAGGCACTCATCTACGCTCAGTGTTTTCCGCATCCAGTGGGCGATTCTCTTTCCTCGGAAAGAGCACACTCAACGGCTTCAACCTCCAAAAACGCGTATACTGTATTTTATAATTTACTGAATTTCTGGACACACAAGTTTCATCTGATCTCTTCAGAAAATTCTGAAAATCGGATGTTTATGTTTATGTATATTTTCCATTCTACAGTAATATTAACAGATATTACAGTACTATTAACATATTTTTCACTTATTTAACAGATGTCGGATTTTATTCTAAAGTTGAGAAAAGTTTCAGTTTTGATTTTTTTTGTCATATTATAAGGGTACTGCCCATTAAATAGCATTGAATGAGGGACGTTTTCAGCAAAATATTTAATTGAAAATGATAGGGATGAATTATTTTAATCTCCCACGCTTCGTTTGGTGAAGGGAGTTTCCATGAGATCGTTGAAGTTTTGATATAATGCAAGGTGCAATATTATTGTGTTTTACCCATTAATTATAATCGAAAAAGTATTAGTTTTTGTATCCCCACTAGTTTCTCATCGCAATGCGAACCCTTTTTTACTGTTTGCTTTGTTTTCTTTCCGTGGCGTTCCACCCGCGATGCGCATGGAGCTAGTAATACTCGGCCAGCGCGCGCCGCTTCAAAGGAGCCTCCGCGAATTGGAGAAGCCTTTCAGCAGACGCCTCTGTCGATGGAGGCCAGCGCAGGTGCCCTATCAATAGGCAAAACTGCGATGACGGAGCGAACTACAATGCCTTGCTGCATCCGGATTAACGAGACCTCAACGCTGTGGTGTACCGAGAACGTTCGCGTTGCGAGGCGCTCTGCATTTCCGAGTCAGGAGCTGACCTGGCGTTTACAATGCGACCTGCGAAAAGTACACATTGCTCTAAGAAACTGTGTTGGTAACTAATATATTTAATTTTACACCTATTATTTTATTAATCAAAAGTTATATACATTTTAATAATCAAAGTTATATCAAAATTTAATATTTTGTCTGAAACTTTTTTAAACATTGCGAAAATTTACTAGAATTAGAAATTCAAAAAATAAGAATGCACACGCGGCTCTATTGGTAGTATGCGGATACATAACTTTATAAACCTTTATATTTAAAGTATTAAGGTCGATACGTGGTCCTATCGAATTTTTTTGTTCCATTAGAAAATAATTCAATTGTTTTTTTATTAAAGAAACAATTCTCAAACTCCAATGGAAAGGTACCAGATATGTTCTCCGTCAAGTGACCTTCATTTAGGACGTATTCTGAATGAAAAACGTATTTCGAAAGTTCTGTGAAAACTTTATAAATACGAGTGAATAAATTTCCTTTTGAGTTATTTGCATTTTAAATTATAAGCTAATGACGTCATGGATACACTGACAACGAGAATTTTAAATAGTGATACTTCATCAGTAGCCTACTTAATCGTGAAAATATAAAAATCTCTATAGCGAGATTTGTCAGTATTGTGCTGTTGTTTTTCTAATTATTGATCAAACAATATCACCCTCTCATAACGTTCCAGAATTTTGCTATAACAGTAAAACACACGCCAGAATATATTTTAAAATATTATTAAAGACAGAAACTTTAACTCATTCAATGATACATGCTATTTTTATCGTATTAAATATATCTAATAATGCTAGATATTCAACAATTCTCAGAGAGGAAGGTTGAATCTCGTCGGTAAGCAACTCAGACATTATTCTCCCACAAACTCAGACAGATATTACCACGCTGTCTTACAGTCCATTCAACGCCAAGAGAAGCAAAGGTTATTTGTCCGCGCATTCGCATCCACTGATTTCGTGAAGCTCGCGGGGTCAGTGAGCCGCTATCCGGGCAGCAGCGGCCCAAATACGTCGCTCGTTACCACACAAATCGATGGCCCGCGACGCCCACCTAATTGGCGCGCCGACGTCCTGTGAGCGCCAGCAGAAGGGGAGAGGGGGGGGGGCAAAAGCGGAAGGACAGCAGCGAAAGGGTCCGTGAGCAGCGAGGTAAAATGAAAACGCGGTTGGAGCGACGTGGGGATGGAAGTGGTGGTTGAATGATTTATTGATTGATTGTTTCGTGCTTCCGGGCACGTCAACTGCTTTCGTCATTAGTCCTAAAAGGGTGGTTAAAGTTTTATCCCGGGAGGTGACGGTATTTGTCACGGAGAGTGGGATTCGACGCCGAACGTACACCTCAACATATGGGAGTTTCTATTCCTGTTATTTTCGCAAGGGAGAAACCGCTCTAGCTGGCACTGGCTCTAAGCTCCTGTCTGGTCTCCCGACATGTGTAGTTGTGTAAATGCATGTAAGTGTAGGTGTATGTATGTGTGTGTGTGTGAAAATCGTATTAAATTTAGCTCAGAGGCTTCTTTAGAACTTGTGAATCATTCACATGCAGTGAATCTACAACATTGGACAGCCTTCTTTACATCCTTTTCGAAGAAAGACATGTGAACGAAGATTTTTTCCCTCTTGAAAATCGGTTTTGACTTGGGTATTACAGCTCGATACGGTAATCGTTATACCACTGAAGCTACGATATAATCTCGAAGGATCACACGGTGATGGGACAATACGATTAATTTATTCCGGGCACATCAACTACTAAGGTCATTACTTCCGTAAGTATGTGGCATGGTTTTGCTCGGGAGGGGGGTGGTCTTCCTCTGCAGTTTGGCGAGATCTGGATCCGACCTGCGTCGGATAGCAAACGTTTTCCCTTATCAGGTTTCTCTATACAGCTACTCAGCGCTCCAGATGGAACATGCTTTAAGCTACCAATATGTGGGGTGGTGTAGCGCATGCTAGTGTATGTAATGGGTGAGAATAGGACAAGAAAGCGGAAGCATAGACCCCGAGCGATCCGTGTCACGTTTGTTAGAGTACTCCGGCATTCGCCTAGTGTTGATCGAAGCGAGAAAATGAAACGAGGAGAAAAACAGCGGCGGAGATGACAATGCCGACGACGTGGACGGGGGAAGTGGATGATGGAGTGACGTGATATAAGCCGGGGAGCGTTTGAGACGAAGAGGCAGAGGGCGTTGGGATGACGAAGTGGCCGGGGAGGGCGAGGGCGATGATGCAGGGATGATGATGACGTAAGGGCGTGGCGTGACCCGGGAGGAGCGAGAGCAGGGCGAAGGGCGGGGCGAGACGGACGCGTCGCGAATGTTACCTTTACGGCAGAAACAACGCGGTCGTGGGCCCGGGTTCCCTTCTCGCTCCCCCCACCAACCACACACGAGCCGCAAATAGATGCCCGTGGGTTTGTCGCTCGGAGCCACGGCCGCCCGTGCCCTATAATTGCGCCTATTTAGCATTAATTAGCACGCCGTTTGGCGCTACAAAGCACGAAAGTACGGTAGGGGCGCCCGGCCGCGGAGAAGGGCTGGACACGCAGGAGGAGGAGGAGGAGGAGGAGAACACGCGAGGAACACGAACCGCATGTGTGGACTGCCATTATGCGTTCACTGTGGTTACCCATGAAAGGCATGCCATGCCAAAGTAGGCTGTTGGGCAGGGGGTGAGTGAGTACTCGGCAGTGTATCCGACGAGATGTATGACAATAGGATGGAAATCCTAAGGATGACCAGGTCACTGTGGAAAATGGTACGAAATGACGGAACGAAATAAAAGAAAATTTATAGCTGTGATAGGAACATTTAAAAATCCCTGGATGATTCTAATGATTGGCCATAATTGTTGTACGAACTAAGGCGTATGATGCCTATCACAATGGTATTAATCATAAATGGAGCAAAAACAAGAATACAAATCATAACACAGTGAGCTTGTGAGTGAAAGGGGGAAAAAGAGATGACAAGAATTATAGTAAAAATATGTAGAAGATATTAATATTACAGGGGCATGGTAATAATTATTTGATAGTTTTACGTTTTATAGGGACGATCCATGTGGTAGATCGTAGATTTGTAACATGAAAAGTGTTTTACAGGATGAAGCTGAGCGAAAAAGGAAAGAACAATACGTATAACCAACTGCCGGTTACAATATTTGAGGTCTAAATTGATCAGTTGAAATTCTGAGGTTGAGATGCTGGATCAGCCTCTACTCAGCATCAGTTAGGTCAGATTGGCGAGCGCGCGCTTCGGGTACTGCAAGAACCAACGGACACTGAGGCGAGACGGCGCGTGTATCTAAACGCCATTAAGTCCGGTAATCGGCTTCAGCAGCCGTGCGGAGGAGGCCTGACAAGGGCCATTCGCGCAGCCGCCGAGGGCTTGGAAGCGGTGGCTGAGCGAGGAGTCCAGGGACATTTCCATGTTCCGAAGGCACTTGGGCACAGGCCAGCCACGACCGCCGAGGGACTTCCACTGCGAACACGTTCGAGTTCGTTGCAATGGGGCGGCTGGATGAAAGTCGACGAGTAGACTGCGGTCACCGACTTGGTTAAGGCGTCGGTGATGACGAGAGGTGGTGGTACAGAAATATTGCACGGCTGATGTGCGAACGATACGGTGATATAATCGACCATAAGAATTTCAAAAAGAGGATCCAGATGAAACTGACAGGATGGTAATAAATACAGGTGATCATGATAAAACTGGTGGGTTTTGAAGACACGCTGGGGACGATTCGGTAGAGATACCGGAGATAATAATTGATTTATAAGAGTGATTGATTAGTGATCCCAGGCGTGTCAACTGCAGACATTATTCCCGTTAGTGTAGAGCATAATTTTATCGCGAAAGGTGGTAGTGATCTTCCCCGCTATATGGGGAAATCCGACACCAAACTGCACGTCAGCACTTGGGTTTTTCCTTAACCAGCCACCTCCCACCAGGGGGTACCGCCCTAGCCGTAACAAACTCTAAGCTCCCGAAAGGTCATCCAACAGTGTAGCAGTGTAGTGTATGTGTATGTGTGTGTAAGTGAGGTTAAGGATAATACAAGGAAGAGGAAAGAAAGATCGCTTGCTG